TCAATCATTAATGATATTTTAAAACTTTCAATGTTTGGAATACATGCAAAATAAAAGTGTAATTCAATTTATAAAATATGAAACTCTTATAAAAATGAACAATGATATAAAGACAATTTTTTATATAATTTTTTTATATAACTTTTACTTGTTATTAAATAAGTAAATGTCCATTTAAATAATACATAAAATCTATCAAAAATAATATTAAAAAATTATGGTTGTATCCTTTTTCTATAAAAAAATATACTATTATACGGTTACTTCCATTCATTTTTATTTATCATACTTACTATAAAAAGATGATCCTATTTAATTGTCATTCTTTTTATTTTTACAAATGCATTAAAGGTATTGTTTCAAATTTTATTTGCATTTAATATTTTAATGAATTTTTTTATTTAGAGAAAGAGATAAAAATAAAATTTAAAAGACAATCTTCTTTTTTATTTAATTTCTCTTTTAAAGTCCCACCTAAAAAGCGTTACAACTAAAAATGCGAGCGGAAGTAAGTACACATGTATGTGGCACTAATTGGGTAGTACACATAGATACTACCATGGTCATGGGATTAGCTGATCATATCCTACTAAAACGTGAAGGAAGATGCCATCTGCCACGTCAGAGCAACATAAAAAAGAAAGAGAGAGAATTTCGCAAATAAAAATAAAATAAAATAAAATATTTCAAACACGTATCCTTAAATGTAAATTAAGAATATTTTTTTATTATAAATATACATAAAAAAATTTAAAAATTGATATTAATTTTAATATCAAATAAGTTTAATTAAAGAATTGATAAATTAAAAAATAATTTTAATTTTTTAATATGAATTTATTATAAAAAATATATTTAATATACCTTAAGATGTATTTTAAAGATATAGGTTAAATAAACTTATTTTAAAAATAAGACAACTTAACGTTAAAACAAAATAAAAATGTAAATACATTTAATTACAATTATTAAATATATTGGTATAATATAAATTTTAATTTTATTAAATTTATCATATAATTATTGTTAAATATTTTATATTTTAATATCTTTTTTTATTTTGATTGCATAATAAAATAAAATCATTTTTTATCTCTTATTTTACTTCACTCATATATTATACGATTTAAATTTAAGATATTTTAATTTTAATAAAAAAATTATTATTAAATTAGGTAAATAATTGACAATATCTTAATTTTTAAATAAGATAAAATAGTGGTAGTGTAGCTTCGGGGAATTGACCAGAAATTGGACTGGACCTAGGGTGTGCTTTTGCTTCAATTAGGCTCCCAATATTCTCCGTATTTACGAAACTACCATTTTACACATGTATGTTTATCTACAAAGCTTGCAAACTGTGTCGTGTCAGCATTCCGCCCACAGTTTCAGTCTCAGCTGGATTCTTTTGGTAGATGGGACACAGACTGACAACACTAATTATTAACTGTTAAAACACTAGAATAAAATTTTTCAGTGCAGTTCAGTACGGCCAGTTATGTCTACTTATTATTATTATTATTATTATTATTATTATTATTATTATTATTATTATTATTATTATTATTGATAACTCACTT